ATGAATGGAAGGATCTGGGGTTGTTTTGTTGGGTTTTTTGTTTGTTTTTTTTTCTTTTCCTTGTCAACACCTTGTTTAGTCCGTAAGCTGCTTTGAGAATAACCAAGTGGAGGGAGAAGACACGTGTGCCTGACAGGGAGCCTGTTTGTGCTTGTTTCATTGAGGAAATTGTTCCGGAACAGCTGCTCATCCATGTGAAAATGCAAACCCTTGGGTCCCAGCCAAGGTCAGCAAGCCCTGGGTCATTTGTTTTAGCAAAGCAGACCAATTTGCCCTTTATTATCTCTCCTTTTCGTTCTGTCACACCTTTTGCTCCATAGATTTACTTCCTGAGAAGGGCCACATGTGAAAGATGGGATACTAGTTTTGTTGAGGATCAGGGAGAGGCAGAATTAATTTTTCATGGGTTAATTTTAACTGTTAAGCTGTATAAAATTTAAGGCATTTACCTCCCTGGATTTAATTTTTCACTTAGCTAGTTCAGTAGGTTCTTTTTATTAAAATTTACAAGATTCTTAACTTGCAAACTCAAATTGCAAAATCCCTGAATTTCATATTGTTTCTCTGCTAGTGCAGGTATTGTGGTGTGAAATGGTAAATTGCCATGTGTTTGCTGGGGACAGGGCTGAGAAATTCCTGAACTTCAGGAAACTTCCAGTAACTGCTCTCAGAATGGGAACTTAATAACAAAGCCTGGTAGAGTTTGGTAATTGCAAAACAGTCACTAGAAACTCTGTGTAAATCATATGCCCATGTGCTGGACCTGGATGTGAAATATATTCTACAAGGGGCATCATAAAGAAGAGCAATGCTCTCTAAGCATGATGATAATGGTGTAGTAAAATGACTTCTTGCCCTATAATGTTATGTGGAAGGAGAGAAATAGGAAAGAAGTGTTGGAGGAAAGAAGCTGGAGGAACTGAAATGCCAGATTCTGGCTTCTGTAATTTAAGGAAAGAAAACTGATTAAAGTGATCTTTAATGCATGCATTAAAGGTCACTGGGGAACAAGGAAAAAAGCTTACTTAGTCCAAAACTTTTGGTTCTGTACAAGAATTTTGAAAGTGTCACGGGTTGCAACCCAGGCTATAATTAGCCTTGAAAATCTTGGGACAGAAGTTTCTCAAGTACATTGTGACATTATTCCAGAAGGAGTAAAATGACCAGAGGAACTGTCAGTCTGTGCCTGACAGGAACAGCCTCTCCAGGGCAAGTGGGAGACAGAGGTGGAAGGGAGCCCTGTTTTGATGTGCAATAAAATCACCCAATAAAATATGGTGCAAGAAGGAGGAGAATGGTGGTTGTTATGTTAGACTGAGTGTGCAGGTGTTTTTTTTTGAAAGGCAGTAGATTCACAAAACCTTGCTGGTTATTTGAAATGGTTAAAATAATCAACTTTAATGCCATCAGAGGGGTGACAGAGCAGCACAAGGGAAGAGGTGTTTGGGAAGAGGAGGAGAGGCTCAGACTGGGGTGTCAAGGTGCTAATTTGTTCTGCCACTGTATGAGACTGAGTTGCTTCTTTTGCTTATTCCAGGTTTTATTCTGTTAAGTATTAACGTGTTGGAAATAGGAAAACTGCGCTCTGCCAGCTGGGCACAAGGGGGGTCTGTCCCTGCCTGCTGAGGTGGACATTGGTGCCTCCAGCCTGGAGGCTTCTGCTTTTCTCTTCTTTCAAGGGAGGGGGAATAATCCCGTTGCACCTGCATTTTGGACAGGGCAGCCCTGCAGGAGCCAGAGGAGTGCTGTGTTCCTGGGAAGGGAGCTCGGGGTGGAATTTGGCCACTGGCTCTGTCAGCAGAGGTGGCCAAGCTCTGCTGGCTGGGTTTCACGAGGAGCTCAGCAGACAATCTGCATTTGCTAAAAAGTACTCCAGCCAGCTTGCTTCAGTGAGCAGCATCTCTGATAGCATGGAAAGACCTTTTCTCCTTTACTTTCCTTTAAAGTAAACTTTGTATCGAGCCACAAGCTTCAATTAAAACTTGCAAAGTTGTGATTCCTAAGAGTATAAGGTACTTACATCCAACCCGTGATTACAAACAGCTGAGGAACATCCTCCTCTAAAGTTCTGCTTTTTAACAGGTCAAAACTATTTAAAATAATCAAAATACTAAAAAAAAAAAAGAAACCCAAACCCACCAACCAAAACTCAAGCCAAACAAGATATGGCTTTGTTTTACTATTAATTAGGGAGTGGTTGCACTTAAAGAAGAATCTTTAATAATTGCTGAGACTCGCTGAGCTGTGGAGATGGGGGTCTTTATTTTACTACCACTTGAAGTTGTTTTGATACCATTGATGAGAGGAATGCAATAATGTGTGCTAAAGTCATTTGGCTAACCCTGAAATCAAAGCAGTGGAAACAAAATCTAGCTGCAAATCACCAGGCTGTCAGTCTTTGAAAAACCTGTTATCCAAATGACTTTAACAGTTTGTGGGTCATATGCAAGGTTAAGACTCCTCTTGCACGGTGCACGTTTTGATGATAAAACACAATATTGCTTTTTTTTTTTATTGGAGTGGAAGTGTTACAGTCAACAGTATCAGTGTGGGAGTTTGATTTCTTCCTGCAAGTAGATCACTACTCCATATGAGCAGTTGGCACAAGGTTTGGAAGGACAGATACGAGGCATGCCGTGCTACTTATTTGTTGTATATTTCTGCTCTCTGTGTAGAAACTCCAAAACTGTTCCATTTTAAGTTTATTTCCAAGTCAGAGTAGCTATTTTTGAGAACAGCTAGCCAATACATCTATAAGAAGTTTTGGTGAGGGGCTGAAACAGGTTATGCATAAAGATTCATTTTACTGAGCAACATTTACATGCAATATTTAAATAATTGTCTATTTAAATTGTGAACTCAGGATTTAAAAATTTATATCAACAGTTTTTTTGCAGTTTTTTGAGTTTGAGAAATCACTGACAAGGAATGTGTCGCATAACTGTTAACTAGTCATTTTACATATTTTCAAGCATGTTTTGTCCTGAAAAACTGAACAGCTCTTGAGATAATCCAGTGTGGATTAAATCCTGAAAAAAGCATCATTGCATGTTCACAATATCAGCCTTTACCTTTTATGAACTGTCCAGCTTACTGTGGGGTAAAACTTGGCAGTGTGTACAGAGCAAAGCGGATTCAGAGAGAAATAAAAAACTCCAAATAAGTTTGACAAGATTTTTTTTTGATTGGGAAAACACATTTATTCAAACAGTATTTCTATTCTGAACCAATTGTCACTTCATATTTTTGATGGATTTAAATAAAGCCATTTAGATGGCAGCTCCTTCCCAATAATCATATACTGCTCAGGCTGAATTTTTTCCATTGACACTAAAATTGTTGGCTGTCTGTGGAGACAAATACTGTTGTGAGGGTCATAGGCTAAGAGAGAAATCCATATGAACTGAATAATAAGTAATAACTTTTTTCCCCTTACTGGGCCTGTAGTGTAGGTAAATTTCGCCACATAGTTAAGTGTAGGAAAGTATGAAGTCCAGCAAAACCAGATCCAAAATATTTAAGTTTAAGCTACAGAGTTTGCATTTGCCTTGTACACTTGATGATGGTTTGCCGTATTTCAAATCTAGATGTGATTAGTAAAAGCTGTAGGGGCTGGTTAGACTGTAAATAACTGGATAGAGAAAACAAACCAAGATAAGAGGGGGTAAAAATAACTCGGATGGATTCCTGTGTGTAACTTGGATTTTGGGAGGAGGGAAGTTCTGCTGGTTGTACCAGAAGCAGCAGGAGTATAAAAATGCAGATGGAGAGGGAATGACTGCTAATTTAATGTGGACTGGTTTTGCTGATATCAGACAACAGACTGTGACTCAGTTTGTTGTTGGAGGTTTCATTAGATGAGTCTAAAATTTAGGAGCAGTCACTCCTACAGGCCATTGCATCCCATCTGTGCCTGAAGTGCTTCATATGTTTTAGTGTTCAGCTTCCTTCCCTAGAATGTGATATGGTTGGGAGATGTTGGATGGCTTCTCCATCAGAGAAGGTGATGGAGTTTCCTTTTGTGTTGTCAGTCAAAGCTGAAATTCAGTTGGCAGTGACAAAGAGCAGGGCCCTGCTGAGCTCCTCTCAGGAGTTGGACCATGGGGGCAATCGGGCTAATTAACAGTTCAGTGTCAAGATTTTAATATGTAATAAGGAAGGAATGAAATTAATTTTTCTTTTCCAAGCAGTAAACTCTGATTGCAAACATCTGTCTGATGTTTGGGGGGTTTGCTTTACTGACTGCTCCATGTGATGTTCCCAGAGTTAATGGGTGAATCAGTCAGCAGTTGAGAGAACTATTTCCATTTTATCTAGACACTTTCTTTTAGCTGTGAGGCTCCATTTCCAGAAGCACAGTGGTTATGGCACTTGCTTTGTTGTACTTGTACTCAGTGCCTCAAAATGGAACTTGCATGTTCAGGGCTGGATTTCAGAGTGGAAACCATAAGCTTCTTGCTTGTATAACCACATTCCAAGGTTAGTCTGAATAGCTGAGATAATGAATTTGGTCTTTGTGCATTCTTAAATAGATAGATAGTTTTTCACATATGTGACTTTTCTCTTTTTTTGCTACAATTGGACGCTTTCCTTGGGAGCTGCCTAATTCCAGGCTACACAGTTTCTGCTTTGTTCCCTGCTCCTATGTCTTTGACAAGAATAACTTAAACAGAGTTCAATATAGGAATTGTGGGCTGCTAAAGGACATATTGTGTTACTGCTTAATGCTGTATAAGTTGATCAGTGGGTAATATAAAGTCTATGTTCTAGCTGTTTTATGATGAAAATATTATTTCAGCAGAATATATGGTAAAGTCATTGAACAATGATCTTATTCTCAGAATGATGGCACAAGGCATTTTCCATATACCAGAAATTAGTGGAGCTGCTCATTTTGTTATTGCAGGCTTCAAAAGTAAAGCTATTTTTAACCTTTTCTAAGCCATTATGCTATTTTTTAAACTGAAAAAACTGATATCTTATTACTCTCTTTCTGTTAGGACCAGCAGAGGTTCCCATGATGTCACCCAATGGATCCATTCCCCCTATTCATGTGCCTCCTGGTTATATCTCACAGGTATGCTTCTTGAAGAATTAAAACTTTTATTAACAAAATAATAAGAATTTTTAAATGTAAAAGCAAAAGCATTGGTCCACATAGAGAAATCTACTTAGTTGAAGTTTATTTAGAAATTTTAATGAAAATGGTAATTACACATCTTCAGACCTCGTGCGCTTGACTGATAGTCACCCACATTTGCACAAGTGACCAGGGATGTGCACCTTCACACCCTGGTATTTGGGGTAGATTTGGGTTTGGGCACCTGCAAAAGCTCTGCACACAGACTGAGCCTATAAATGCAGCTTGGATTGTTTGTGAGAGGGGAAGAAGTCCTTGATGTTGGATAATGCCTCGAGTTCTTGTGTGGCAGTCAGAAGGGGCAGGAGACCATGGAAGTGAGAGAAGGAGCCGCTGTAGCTGTAAAATATGCAGTTGATCCTCAGTAGCTTCCCAGCAGAAATCCTGCAGCATACCAAGAGCTGGGGGTTTTGGTGTGTTTTCAAGAATAAATGTGATTTAACTACCTATTTATGGAAAAAAAATGGAAAAGGTTTCACAAACTGTTAGGTTTTGGAGCTCTTGAGCAGCTACTGCTCTTCTGTGTAAATAACCCCAGATTACCAGTCTATTCCGTCCATCTTCTGCAAAGCTTGGACTCATTCTGAGGTAAGGAAAAAACCCAAAAAAACAAAACAAAAGATTGATATAAGGCGTAACAGCTGTGATCAATACAATAAATCAAATAATGTCACCATTTTCTTGAGACCTGGACCAAAAGCCTCCTTAAAAGTACACAAAGTATTTCAGACATCCATGATGAATAGCATAAGAACTCTTGATAGATATAGTTTGGCATCTTGTTAAGCAGAAAATAGATGATGTCCTGGAGTCTCTTCCCCTCCCCAGGAAACATGTGAGCTTGTGTAATTCTGAAAAATTGTGGATGGCGTCATGCTTAAATCCCACAAAATACTGCAATCACTCTGTGGTATTTTGACTTCTGAACAGAGTGAAAACATGCTTCAAGTGAGAGGGAGTTTGTTAGCCTAGGAGAGGGGGCAGCATGTCAGGGTGGTCCTCCTGCTCCTCAGCCCTCCCAAGGGGAGTGGTTGGAGTTCTGAGACAGCATTTGCTGCTTAATGCTCCTCATGGGCTCACCTAATTTAATAGACTGGCCCATGTCATGCAGAGGTTTATCTGAAGATTTATTCTTCCTTTGAAATAACTTTTAACACCTTTTTAATATTAAAATGTTTATACCTCCCCACCTCTGTGCTGAGATAAATGGTTGGGTATAATTGGAATGCTTTCCAAGCCAGAGGGGTGAAAGTCTTCCAGCTGTATCTCTGTCTGAGCCCAGTTCTTCTGTAAAGCTTTTTGTGGGGCACCATAATAATTCCACTAAAGAAGCCTTTAAGTAGTTTCTTAACCAGAAAAAAATCCAACCAAAAACCCTCTTCTGAAGCAGTTTTTCCAGGGAGCTGGAAATATGTTGTAAAGTTATAGGGGGAAACTCTGTATTCTGCACTTTTCTGCAGTGGAATGTGTGTTCTGCTCTGTGGTGAGTGTCTTGCCTTTTTAGACTGCTTCATATTAAATAAGGGTTGAAAGTCTGCAGTGATGAAACTAGCTCTTTGTTGTAATAAATGTCTCTGCCTTATTTGCTTTTGCTTTTTTCTATTGCTTCAGAGTTAAACCCAGTCTTTTATGATAAACAATTAGAACACAGCTTAAATTTAACACATCAAGGGAAAGGCCATAAAGCAAATTAATGTACTCTAGGATATGAATCAAAATATATTTGATTTTTTGGTTTGATTTGTCCCCAAAGTGTACATCTAAGAGTCAGGCAGACAGCAATGCCCCTGCAGAGAAGCAACAGTGCCTATTAAAAAAAGGCATGAAATCTTATTTCCATCTTGTTATGCCTAGGCTGTGTGAACTGTGTTAGCCCTGAATATTACATGAGTTATCGAATGATCACATCCCTGGATTAATGTGGTGCTTCATCACCTCTTTGGAAAAATTGGCAGCGGGATGCGAGCCCTGCAAGGTCAGCCCCACTGGAAGCAGCACAAACACAGACTCTCTCTCTAGACTTCAAGGACCACGATAATAATTGTGACTAGAAGCTGGGTTTGTTGATGTTGAGGAGATGTTCCCAATGATGAGGCTTAGCCAGGGCAGGAAATGATCCAGGAAAATAATAGAAAACAAATTCCAGTTCAAATCTTTGATGCTATGGTTTTGCTCTCAAAAGACCAGCTCTTGAAAGAGCCAGTGTTTTGCATTATCTTTTCAGCAGACAAACCTCTGTGCACCTCTGGCAGATAGGAGCTGTCAGATCAGGGTTCATGTCCCTGCAATTCTCTGTGGGCTAAGGGTTAGTTAAATAAGGACCAGAGGAGAAGTTCCTTGCTGTGCTCCTGGTGGACAATATCTCTGCTGTAAAAGTTGGTTCTGGAGGGTGACATGGCAGAGAAATCTGCATTAAATGTGTGTGATGTCAACTTTTTTGGCTTCAATTGTTAAGTGAGATTAAGGATTTGAAGGCTAAGGAGTTAAATCTGGGGACATCCTCATGGGTTGTTGTTCTTACTTTTCAGTGTATATCTGGGAGGAGAAAGGGAGAATTTGAAGTGCTCTAACCAGGAGAACTAGGAAAATTAAAATATCAAAAAGCAGGATCATTAATGTGTTTGTTTAGTGCTGCTGGCTGAGGACTGCTCTCTCTGAAATAAATCTCTCTGAAATAAATTCCTCTTGAAATTGAGAAGCTGCTTGTCTGTAGTTGGACAAAAAATTTGGCATGAAACTCCACTTTTTATTTTATTTACATGTTTGTTAGTATGAGCTCTCTGCCACAGAAATTTTAAGGCTAAAGGACAAATTTGCTGGTTGGACCATGAGGTGCACATGTGTTAAAGAGCCTCCTTTGGCCATGGGCTTTCTATGGTCTGAAGTTTTCCATTTGAGCCATGGTCCTGCAGTTCAGTATTCCTGCATCAAGCACATGGCATTTGACAGAACTAAAGCATAACTTCTGGAAAGAGGAATGTCTTTAAGCGACATTTAAAATGATAGGAAATTTATCCCATCCTTGAAAATCAGGATTTTGGTCCTGGGTAGATCCGGTCCCCTAGGAGAGGTGTTCTTCTCCAGAAGCATGTTTGGCTAGCATCAGGTTTTAGTGACAATCTCCTTGGTTTTGTGTGGCTTGCTGCTCACAGAGCTGCTCTGGGGGTTCTGTAGGCTGCAGCCAATCCTTTAACAGGGTGATCCTCATTAAAGCTCTGAACAGGAGGAAGGTTGTGCAGATCTCATATGGAGCAAGCCAGGAAGTGATGCTCCTTTTGAGTTCATGGGCTCTGGTCCTGAAGAGCTGTATCATTCTAAATTTGAATTACCCCAAAGTGCTTGCCAGCATTCTAGATGTTTATCTGTCTGTTTTCCACAAGGAAGGTATAGATGTAATTTGGTGTTTGATTTAATACTGATGGATTCTGAAGATAGCGATGCAAACTTGCCACGACTGGTGTGAACTCGGATTGGCATCTTTAAGAAATTAAATGAATAAATAAAATGTTGACATCCAAGTGCCTCGTGGATGAGCTCATTCTGTACTGGTTTTGGGTACAGATTGATTTATGAATGAAGTTTCAAATTAGTTTATGAACTTTCTGAAGTATTGGTTGTAGTCCACCCAGTGGCCATGCTCCAGAGGTCTTTGCTGAATCTAACCTATTAAATTTAAATTAAAATAAGGGTTGTTTGGGTTTTTTTTTTTAAAGTGGAAATTACTTGCGTATTACTCATATGCATATATGTATATAAACTCATACAGTAAAGGTGTGTTACAGAATGAGGGTGGTTGTTTCTTTAACTGGATCTCACAAAATACGGATACGATTTACTTGTGCACAATTAACATGCCTTTTTCCTTACAGTGTAATATTAAATTTCAGTGGAGAAAAATGAGACAACGTGGAGCAGTGTGATGTGCTTTGAATACGTGAATTATCTCTAGTTACTACAGTGATATCTGCACTGGAAAACAAATAACATTTAAAATGGCATTCCCCAAATGTGGCAACCAATGGGGGAGGCAGTTTTATTGTGTATGAGTAATGTTAGCCCAGACTGCCCTGAAAGATCATCACCTACCTCATGCAGCAATTAAACTCCCTAAAATATGGGAAAAAAACCCACACAGAACTATGCTATAATAGCATTGTTATTGAGGTGGCATGCCACTTACACCAGCAAGCACAAAAAATACCAGCAAAAAACAATTTACCTACTAACTGTCTGAAAAAAAAATCCCACAAATAATGAAAGTTTATCTCTAGGTGCAAAATGACCAGAGATATTTGTTTTCTCTAAATATAAAGTGCTAAGATTAGTAATAGCAATTACTTTTAATATTCCCATTGCATCTAGAGACCTCAACAGGGATTAGGATTTTGATGATGCTTGGCACTGAAATAGAGACAGTTTAGCAGTTTCCAGATGAATTTATGATCTTTGTGACAAATGGTTTTAAGCAGATACAAAAATTGCAGATTTCTTCTTAAAATAGCGAAGTTGAACCTCTCTGCTAAGTTATGTTTTTTTCATTAATGGATCAAAACTGATTTTATGTATCTTTGATGAACTGAGTGTTGTCTCTCAGAATGGCACTACTACAATCTACTCAGTGCAGGTTTTTACACATCCAGGGATATCTCCAGTCTTTGTAGCTACCTAATGCATATAACACATAAATCATATTACCAACTTTGATTTGTTATGGACAGAATAGTGTATTTAAAAATTGTATGTAGCTTCAGAAATGTACATGTATATCAATAATTCCTAGTTTAGAGAGAAAAGGCCCTGTAGGATTGGGAAATAAAGTGGGTTTTGCAAGGTCCCCTGTGTTTTTGTGTTCATTTGTAATGTATTCACGTGGAATAACAAGAATGCTGTCAGCATTCATGGCCTGGGAGGAAACAAATAAAAGATATTAGTGCCTTGGCTTTTCATCTGAAGTAATTTGGAAGGCTGGCCGATCCTTTGAGTTGGAATAGTTGGTGGTTGTAGGTTCCTCCCAGCTGAAATTTTCCATTCTATCCCCTCATCTCTGGCTTCTCTCAGTCCTGTTGATATTTTATAGCTTCATCTAGCAGGGTAATTTCATCCAAAAGGTCTTTGACAGGACTCTGAGCTTTCCTCCCTGCTTTATAGATGATAGTTCAGGAAGCTGAATCCTAATAATTTAAAATATGGTTTGCATTACGTGCTGCTCAGTGTACAAGCTTTCTGTCTAAATCTGTTCCTTAATATATTCATCTTTCAGCAGAGCACAAAAGGCACATGTAGCTGGTCTAGATGCAGAGATAAGAGCTTGGAGTTGGCTTTGAGGCTTGGACTAGTTAAAGCCACGATGAAAACCTCTCACATCATGATGTAGGAACTAGCTCTCTCAATTAAGTTACATCATAATCTGAGTCTGGAGTTAAATCCAGCGTTTCTGTGCACAGCCCTTGATAAATAGTTCTGTTTTTTCAAATATGTGCTAAACGTAAAGGATTTTCCTCCTTTCCAGGTTTCTGAGTGCAGGTTTGAGACCTGGCAGCAGGATAAGAGGATGCTCTGGAGCAGAACCAGTAGCAGAGATAGGAAGCCTGAAAATGGAGCAGTTGAAAGGATGTGATAGTCTAAATCTCTGAGATTCAGCTGTCTTCTGAGGACTCTGTAAAGTCTTTGAAATTTAAAGCTGGCAGCTGACAAATTGCTTGTGGAAGTCGTAAATTCTGAGGGTAGAATCAAGTATGTTAAGCCAAACAATTACTATTTTGGTTACTCAGCAAGCAACACATTTTTGCTGTGAAATGTTACTAGTGACTGAATTAACTTTCTATAGAAAATTGTCCTGTGTAGAGGCCAGCCAAGCCACAGGAATTGTGTGTGCATGGTCACATCCCATAGCTAACAGGCATAAATGCACAGACCCTGGGGGCAGGAATTGGGTCAGCCATTCCTGGGTGGATTTTCCCCTGTGATTCCTTGCTCAGCTGGTGCCTGGGGCAGGAGCTGCTGTTTGCTGGAGCAGTTTTTCTGCTCAGGGCTGTGGGCATTGCCCCAGGGCAGGGCTGGTGCTGTGTGGCACAAACAGCAACCTGCCTGTGCCATTCCTCTGCTCCAGGGCACAGATTTCTCTTTATGGTTTAGAGTAAAGACACTGGGATGTGATGGGAGCCTCTGGAGTGTGGGCAATCCACAGCAGAGTCTCTTCTGCTGGTGCTGTACAAATGTGGGAATCAGCTGAGAGTGGCAGCATCCTGCAGCAGGTGCCTCTGGTGCACGTTCACTTACCTCACACACCATGTTCATCACAGGTACTGCTCCATCTGTGCGCCACCAGTCAGTTTAGAGAAAATGAGGTTCTCAGCAACCTGTTTGTTGTATGAAATTAAATCATGCTTCCTTCGTGCTTTTTTCCACCTCATGCATGCCAGCATCCACAGTCAAATGGTTCTTACGTGGTTGTATTTTTTAATTTAAGAAATGGCAGAAGTTTTTTGGATGAGCTTCAAGAAAAGCTTGGTTCCTTGGTCTGGATTGAAATTTGGCTGGTTGACTGTTCTCCAGAAATACAACTCTGGAAAAATTATAACCTGAAAAACATTTTTCAGCCTAAGCACATTTCCACCTTCCTACATCTGTTTTTACATGCTTTGCCTGTGGTGTTAGGGGCCAAGTTATGCATATCCCAGAGCTGATTTGTGTGGATGTATAGAGCAGCTCTGTAACAGAAACAAACCCCCTGCCCTGTGATTTGTCCTGAGCAGCTACCTGCTATGAACAGAGCAGCTCCTTTGCAAATGTAGGCCAGCACAGCAGGTTCCTGCAGAGTACATGTCTGTGTGCACACACACAGCCTCTCCACAGCAGCAGTGCCAGCTGCTTTCCAAAGTGTTGCTAACTTCATTCTCAGGGCGCTGTCAAAATCCGTGGTAGAAGTGTTATGGGCAGAATGTAAGGTCAGTCCCAAAGAGAATGCTTATTTTGGTGCTTTGTGTTCCTTTTCCAATTGTTTTCCTCCCTAAATGCAGGTTAGTTATTCTGTCCCCTAACCCACATAGTTATCACTAGCAGCAGTACAGCTCCCAGTGATTACTGTGGATATCTGAGTCTCCAGGAAAAGCCACATCACCACCGCGGTCGTTTCTGCTGATATTAATTTTAGAATTGTGTTTATTCCTGAAGCTAAAGCCCATGCCCAGCTGTTTTGCAGGGGGAGGACGAGCTGTAAACAGTGCTGTTTCAGGGGTGTGCCTGTTCCAGATGCTGCTAACGTGCGTCCTTTCTCTGCAGGTGATAGAAGACAGCACGGGCGTCCGCAGGGTGGTGGTGACGCCGCAGTCCCCCGAGTGTTTCCCTCCCAGCTACCCCTCGGCCATCTCGCCCACCCACCACCTGCCCCCCTACCTGGCACATCATCCCCACTTCATCCACAACTCCCACACAGCCTTCTACCCTCCTGTCACCGGACCTGGGGACATGCCACCACAGTTTTTCCCGCAGCATCATCTTCCCCCAACAATATATGGAGAGCAAGGTGAGCTGGGAGGAAGGGGCTGGGAATGGCCTTTCACACCTGTGTTCAGCAAGGTGTAAGGGCTGGGAGAACCAAGAGTAGGAATGAGGTGGAGAACTTCCAGAGTGGCTTTCTTACATGGATGGAGCCTCTTATAATATCCTGAGTGGGGGGCTTTAGCTGTGAGTATTCATTTTTAAAGACCAAGCTCTTTTGGGCATGATATTTTCAAGGTTCACCTTCCAAGTGAAGCACAAAAACCAAGATTGAATTATAGGAAAAATCAGGAAATACTGTGATCCCCACAAGCTGACCTGCCTTAGTTTAAGAAAGACTCATCCTTGGAGGGGGAAGTGAGGATTGTATTTAATGAAGAGTATCCAAAGAATGTACATGATATTTGTAATAATTCTGAAACTTTTTTTGAGATAATTTTAATTCCCAAAGCTTCTACTTCGTGTTGCACTCCTCTCCTTAGGCAGCACAACTGACATGATTGTTAAGTCTGTTTATACTGGGAAGTTAAATTGTATGTAATCCAGGGTTGGCAGCTTGGAACCAGCACATCTCAGATTGTTCTGTCCAGTCAGGCCCTGAGGAAGAAAATGCTAAATTGCTCTAAGCTTATGAAGGCTTTTTCCAAAAGATCAGTTCTGTCTGGATTTTTGCTTGTAAGCTGTCCCTGAAACACAAAAACTGAAAAGGAAGGGAGAAACATCACCCTAATAGCAGTATTTTACACATGCATCCAAAGTAAAATTCTGTCATCAAAGGAGTGCAGTTAATACAAAATCATTGCAAAAAAGGGTTTTCTTTTAAAAACTTCCAGGAACAGCTGGAGTAATTTCATTTGGAGATAACCAGAAATTTGGTTTTCTGGGGGAAAAAAACCCCTCTCAGTTGTTTTGTTGCTCTGAGTTAACGCGGGTGAACCGTTCCCTTTCAGAAATCATACCACTATACGGGATGTCCAGCTACATCACCAGGGAAGACCAGTACAGCAAACCACAGCACAAAAAACTCAAAAACAGGCAGATTGGATTTTTGCTTGTAATCTGTCCCTGAAACACAAAACCTGAAAAGGAAGGGAAAAACATCACCCTAATAGCGGTATTTTACACATGCATCCAAAGTAAAATTCTGTCATCAAAGGAGCATAGTTAATACAAAAGAGGTTTTCTTTTAAAAACCTCCAGGAACAGCTGGAGTAATTTCATTTGGAGATAACCAGCAATTTGTTTTTCTGGGAGAAAAGCCCCTCAGTTGTTTTGTTGCTCTGAGTTAACGCGGGTGAACCGTTCCCTTTCAGAAATCATACCACTATACGGGATGTCCAGCTACATCACCAGGGAAGACCAGTACAGCAAACCACAGCACAAAAAACTCAAAGACAGGCAGATTGACCGCCAGAACCGCCTGAACAGCCCTCCCTCCTCCATCTACAAGAGCCATATAGGCAGCTGCACCACGGTGTACAATGGCTATGCCAAGAGCCACAACGGGGCCAGCAGCGGCGGCGGGGCAGCCCCGGCCCTGAAGAAACCGGAGCGCAGAGCAAGGAGCAGCCCAAAGTCAAATGAACAAGACCCACATGGTAAAAAAGAGGGCTTTATTTATTTATTTTTAATTCCTTTTTTATTGCACCTTTCCGGCTTGTGACCTCCTCTGTGCGGATCCAGTGGCCGTGCCAAGAAACACTCCCACCCACGCGTTCATACGGTGTGAACTTAAATCCCAGCGCTGGGCTTGCTGGGCTGTGTTTGTTTTGTAAGGTGAGCCCAGCGCCTCCCCATCTTTTGTGACTGCTCCCTTGGTAGATGCTGTATAGAAGAGCATCATTCTCTTTTTATCTGCTGGAAGCAGAAATGTGTTTTATGGGTGAGGTCTCGGTTAAATTTTGCTTTTCGGAGAGGCATCTTGGCACTTCACAAAAAACTTCATGGACAATTGAGCTATAAGCAAAATCTGACTACTAGGAACCACTATTTTGCATATCCTAGGTTAACCTGGTAAAGTTATTAGAAAGTTTAGAGGTGATGACTGAAAAACCAAGGGTTTTTTTAATGTGAAAATTCAGTGAAAGTAAGATTAGTTGAAAACAGAAGAAATTTCTTAATGTTAGCCATTGGAAATAGTGGTCAAATAAATCTGGCTACTCAGCATTTTCAGAGACTTGCCATTTAAAAATTTAAAACTTTGGATAACAACCCAATGCTTTACTGTAATCAAATCTCATTTATCACAAGCCATTCTTCACACATCAAGTTCTACCTAAATTCAGTTTAGTAACTTGTTATGATCCCTTATCCCTACCTGCCATTCTCCTCTCTGCTTTTCTCTTTGCTGACTGCTGCAGCAGCTGCCTGAACAAACTTTGATGCAGTAACCAAAGCAGCATGTCAAGGATACTCATAATGTAGCACACTCTGAAATATCCTGAGTTAATTGATGCATAAAACACAGGTTTTCCATTATCTGTCTCTAGTGTATATTTATATGCCTCTGTACTTTTACCTGTGAGACATAACTAAAATAAATAGTTACAAAAATTAACTGTATCAACAGCCAAAGGGGGGGAAATGGTATGCTGGCATGGTAAGGAATGAGGATTTGCAGATGTGCTTCAGGGTCTTTAGAATTAGCAAGGAGCTGTATTTGGGAGTGCTGTAATCCAGGAAAATGAATCACTGCATTAGACTTTCTAGTTACTTCTTGCCAATCAGCTTATGCAAACTTTAGTATTCTTATTTATGTGTAGGTGTTTATTTGAGGTGGAATACATGGGGTGTTTGAAGCTTGGATGTAAAAGACCTGGAAAAAGTATAGTCTTTAATATTGGTTCAGTTGGTACTGAGTCAGCCTGGCTGATCACTTCTGAAATAATCTAGAAATCATTTAAAAGCATCTTATCTAAGGGTTTCCTGCAACCCCTGTGTTTGTCTAATTCATTGCTTTGGACTGGTCTGCTGTGCTGCAGCTGAAGAGCACGAGGGCTTTTAAAATGCCAAGAAAATCAGTGGAGCCAGGGCTACAGCACATCCAGTCCTGTCAGGCAGAGAATGCCTTCAGACTGGGGACAGCAAGGGATGGAGTGCTCCCCCAGCTCTGGAAAAACCCCTCACAGCAGGCTGTGCAAATAAGCATCCCTTGTCCCACCCTCCTGCCTTTTAAAGTTAGGTTCTGCATCTGCACCCACAAGTGGCAGCCCGGGAGTGGCATCAGCTGCTCTGCAGCAAGTCCATGGCAGGAGCAGGAATGGGAGAATTTTTTCATATTAAAAGGAAAAAAATAATATACAGTGGGCTCAAATGTGAGGGTTTTGACATCAATGTATGTAATACATCAATGTATAGTAATACATGTAAACTTACATTTCTACAGAAAGGTCACAGAGGTTTCTTAAAGGCTCCCATGAAGCAGCTCCCTAAAATAAAATAAGTTCCCAGTTGATATTTACGAGCTTCTAATCATATCTGTTGCTTTATATTTATCTTCTCTGTTTCTTCTTTAATTATTTGGGGATTCATATGACTAACCTGGCCACACAGGTAATTAGGGTGAGAGTTAACAGCAGTCTGGGCACAATTGCTAATTGAATTTATGCTGCTAAGTGACAGTTTTTAGAATAGCCAGAAAAAATGAATGTGTCAGAAGCAACAAGTAGCAAAGGGGTTTAAACTTACAGATTTTGTGTATGTGTATCTGTTCAGCCTGCTAATAGTTAAAAACTTGATGGTGCTGTGTGGCTGCTTCCAACATTGCAGAATAGCCTGGAAAACCTATTTTTAGCTACATAAATATATAAAAATGTGTGTATATATATATATGTATATATGTATAAAATTTGTGGATAAATCTTTATTTAGAAAACCGCTTAACCAAAAAACCCTTTAGGAAGGGGGAGTAGGAATGTATGAATTTGCAGTAAAACTTGGAATAAGGTGAGGGCGAGCTGGAGCTGAGTGCTTTGTTTGCGTGGATTTTTGAGTTGGGATTGTGATGTGCTTGATGGCCTGTCATTTCCTATCTGGCTGTGGGGTGGGTGTGCTCCTGCAGTGGAGCTGGCTTCTTTGGGGTGTTTGGATGATGGAGCAGTGCTGGCATCCAGCTGCTGGCAAGGCAGGGGGCTTTAGGAGCCCCAGACACAGCTGGAGCAGGCTCAGCTCTGCTTGCTGCAGAGAACAGCCTGTGTCAGTACACAGTGCTGCAGCCTGACAGAGATTGCTGTCCTTAGGGATTGGGCTGGATGAAACAAAATTTGGGAGCTGCCTGAGTGCTGGAAGTGTGGGTGGGAGCTCACCAGGGCCACCTCTCTCTGCTCCTGGGCTGATGCTCAGAGAGGCAATTGGAGTGTCTGCTTTAGTCAGCAGGGAGAGACGATGCTCACAGGGGGTTTGTGACAGGGAAATGGGAGTTTCTGCTCTTGGATCTGCTGCCCCTGTGCTCAAGGTGATGCTTGTCCTGCTCCTTGCTTTTTGGTAGTGATTTCTCTGAGGAACGTGTTCCTCCTTCCTCAGCACACCCACTCTGCTGGGGCTGGGGTTATTGCAGGGCTGCAGGAACAGGGAAGGGGATGGAACACCTTCCTTATCAACACAGAATGAGAGGATTGGGCCTGGGGAAGGGTGAGACCTTGGACCCCATAAAGAGGTTGCAAGAGAGCTGGAGAGGGGCTTTTGACAGGGGCATGGTGTGATAGAACAAGGCAAATGGCTTTAAACTGAAAGAGAGCAGGGATAGATGGGATATTGGGAAGGAATTCTTCCCCGTGAGGGTGAGGAGACCCTGGCACAGCTGCCCAGAGCAGCTGAGGCTGCCCCATCCCTGGGAGTGTCCAAGGCCAGGTTGGATGGGGCTTGGAGCAGCCTGGGACAGTGGAACGTGTCCCTGTCCATGGCAGGGGCTGAAACAAGAGCATCTTCAAGGTCCATCCCAAACCACTCTGGGATCATGTGAATTATATTGAAGAAAATATCCAGCATACAATGCAAGGGCAACTCAACCCTTTTCCCTGAAAAATCACAGTATGTGTGATATTTAACTTAAAAAGTTTAAAAAATCTTTTTTCCATCCAAATCTATTCTCCCATGGAAAATTCTGCCACATATCAATAACTTCCAATATTAAAAGAAGGAAGGGTTCCCCAAAAATCTACTTCCCCACTGGTAGAAGAAATGGGGTTATAGATCATCAATTCTGAATGTGATCAGTACTGAAATTAAGTAAATTACTCTGGATTATTGTTAAATTATTTTTGAGTCGCCCCTCCAGTTGTGGATCCAGCCTGTGCACCTCTGTACTCTGTACACGATGATGGTACATTAAAAATAAGGTTTTGCTTCTATAATGCCCCCTTATCCCAGGGTGGTTCTCTAACAGCAGCATCCTACTTTTACTAGGAAATTCATGGCTTCAGATTGGGGATATAAGTGCAATTCTGACCTTTTCCATTGACTGCATCATGCTGTGTTGGGTGATGCACTTGTAAATAAAGATTTCTAGTTATGTTGGAAATAGGCTGGCTTAAGGCAAAAAAGGGAAACTGATTGCTTGTAATTGACTGAAAATTTACCAGTTTCTCTGAGTGTTTCTGGTAGGATGATGGATGATGTTTTGTACAGGTAGAAGGCTTGGAGGTAAGATACTGGGATTCTGATTTAAAATCCATATTGGAGCTTTTCCACAGAGCTGTTTCACAAACTGAATGGGCCAGGAGGGAGAGCAGGGTTGGGTTTTTTGTGGGTTGGGGTTTTTTTTGTAAAGGAGCCTTGCCATGTAAAAAGAGCTGTAAGAGGAAATCCTGTCCCATTCATGCTGTCCTTTATGAATTTCAGTCTGAGTCACTTCCTTCTCATGCACTCAGTGGCTCCTTCTTGGCCATGCAGTGATCTGGTAGTTCAAGAAGTTCTGTGTGTGGCTGCAAGTACTGTGGGAACATAAGCGGTTTTGAGCATTCTGACAATGCTTTTGCCTATTTCCTTATAAAGCATCTTTTTTTTTTCCCCTCTCTTCAAATGAGATAAAATCTTTTTTTTTAAAAATCCTTTTTGAAGTTTGCAGAGCTTAAGACAGCCAAAAGTAAACCACTTGAGGTGGGTAAAAGTGGGAAGTGGGCAATGGATTGTTGTGTGCATCCTGTGCAGGAGCTGGGTGCCAGGACAAACAGACCCTGCCTCCAGGGCTGTGTGCCATTGTGAAAGTGCTCCTAAGCAAGATTTTATCCTCAATGGAGAAGATCTGGCTTCAGATCAGCCCTTCTAGCCCAGGAGTGTGATGAAGATGATGCTGAGGAGGAGCCTGCAAGGTTGGACACATCCCACACGCTGCTCCTGGCTCCTGCAGCAGCATCCAGACCTGGCAGGCACCAGGGAGGGTCCAGCCCTGCCCAGCCCGTGGTGCCCTCTCACTGATCTGTTGTCTGTGAACTCATCTCACTCGGGTTTGAAAAGCACATTTGCTTTCCCAGTGAGAACACTGAGTTTGGTGTGCACTTCACTGCTCTGTGGCATTGATGAGCTTTTTACACGTGGGGAAGGGAGGAAAAAGCATGGGAATCAATTGACAGTTCAAAGAGCTGCTGCAGACTATTGACAG